TTTTTTTTTTTTTTTTTTTTTTCTAAAGATTGTGGATTTGATTTCATCAAGGACGCATGAACTGTCCGCACAACAAGTCAAGCAGGTGAGTGCCATCCTTGGGTGACCAATTGTTATGTTCTCTTAATAATTGTTAGCAATCGTCCGGTTCTAGGAAGGAGGATAACGCTATCCACTGGGCAACTCTCTATACTGTAGAGCGCGGTACGCTTTTTTTACCACTTACCACTGGATAGCGATTTACCCTTTGGATAACTTTATCCAACGAAAAAAGTAACAAGAAAAAATAGAAAATCTTAGGTTATGTGAAAAGAATCAACGCTAATAGTGATATTTTTTCAAGCGAGAAACTGCAAAGGTTTCTTGAAGCAGAAGAAAGCTATAAGGTGTGCAATGATTATCTCAAAAAGTGAGAGAAAGTGCTCTTTCTTGTAAATCCTTGAAAGTTGTAGCCGAGTAACTGAACAGACGATTTCTGTTTGGTGGCATGATGCGTAATGTGAGAAATTTGACGAGAAGGTGATTGACCGCTTGAAATCGTAATCATTTGAACAAACTAATAAACCGCAGCGAGTGAAAATCAGTGCTCCCTGTTTTGAAAACGAACCTGGCTTGTTCAACTATCGTTAACAAGGAGGGTGATAGTGAAAACTTCCTTAGCTTGAGAATTCACATGATCTTCACGTGACTCTCCTTATCTGTTCACGTGCAGCTGGTTGAAGACGCGGTCTACCGACATCTAAGTTGGATAGTTTTCTGGGGGAGTGTGTTGGGAGCTTTTGTTGGCTGTGCGGCCGAGCTTGCCTCTGTTTACATTAACGGCACGTGACTTGTCAAATGGCTTGGAAATAATGCGTTAGGTCACTACGTGGCTAACTTTTAAATGAAAGCCGGATGATCGCTATGAAAGATGAACCCTCTGAGCCACAGTGTTTGTCAGGGAACGATTTGGCCAGTTTAGCCGGTTACTAAGAGTGCTACAATGGCATGTACACATCGACGCCCCATTGATTTCCACAGCAAAGTAAACACGCTATTGTCCTAAATTGGCCTTATCTAGGCTCATGATGACAAAATGTAAACATTTGTATTTAATTACAGAAAATTAAAAAAACGTTAATATGTGAAGGAATCAGAGTTCCATAAAGAACAAAGAAAAAGTTAGGAATTAAAGCTTATAAATCATTTTCAACAATGGTCTTTTACTCCTTTAACTTGTTGAACTAGTGTCTTACCCAGACCTTCCACGGCCAAGAAGTACAGTCAAACGGTGGGACCTGGATACGAGATTATTGTACGCGTAGACTGCTTTTCGATGGCGAGATAAAATCCAAAGCCGAGTCTATTTGTTTAGAAAGAAAAATAACTCGAGTCTATTTAAAAAACTAAGCATGGAGGTCGACTCTCCTTTGGAAGCAGTTGTGTTTCTCGTATTTTACTAACCCTTGTTTTCAAATGGGCTTTGCCTGTTTTGTTATTTTTTCTAAAACGTGTTCCGCCGCGCCCAAATGTTTCCACTGATATATCCACACAACGCAACTTTGAACTATAAGCAACTTTTCTGGACAGTTGTTTGCCGAGGAACTCATGTCAATTTTTCTGTGATTTCTCATGATTTTTAATCATTTAATTGACTTTAAAATTCTTTTCGATAGTTTTGTTTTATGTTAGTGGTCGTTGTCCGAAACCAAAAATTAAATGGGACAGGTTTCTTTGTCTCGCAAACGGATGCAAGTTGTCCAAAACAATTTAACAAACGATTCTTATATCCAGCTGACACAGTTGTCTGGTGCTGCTAAATTATTTAGAGAAAACTGACATCACAGGAGAAGAAGCACATTTTTAATAGGTGACTTGTTTTTTAGACGCTTGTTGCATAAAACGGAAAACATAACTTTGAACCACAAAATTCAAAACACAGCATTACGTGTTTGTTGACGCCTGCGCATTGCACATTTGTTTTTGAATGGGATAGTTTAATTCATAATTCTTCACAGACAAGATTGCTTTTTCAGTTTTGTCGTCGCACTTTGAGCAAATTCATATGCAAAGCTCAGTATTAGCTTTCTTTTCTAAGGTTGAAATAGCCACCAACCTCGTTCCCAATGAAGGGAAAAGGCCCTGAGAACGAGGTTGAATAGCCACGGTTTCAATTCATGTTAGTAGTTGTAATCCCAGTTTTCGTTGTGTAGTAATTTATTGTCAATTTTTTTGACGATTGCTAAAGAATTGATCCTCCATGGTGGTTTTTTTCGTATTTCACCTAAAGAAGTTATATCTTTAACTTATGAGATTCGAAGAAAAACTAAAGAGAGATAATAAAAATTAATAAAATAATCTGCGTGGTGCCAATACCAGTTTTTTTCGCGCCGTTTCTCACCTGATCGATGACGTATTTTCCCGCGCTTTCTCGCCATCGATGGTATGTTTTGCTTTAAATATTGATTGTTTTTTTTTTTCTTAGATACTCATTCGTATTAAATAGCCGTTAGCTATTTACTTTCGTAGGGTTTAGCGTCACTGACCTGTCACCTTAAGAACGCAAGCATTAATTGTTGTTTGGAGACGTTAAATTAGCCTAAGCTTATATTTTATTATTGGTTCGCCTTAATCCATAGGGAAACATGTGTTATTGCCCTCCCGCGGTTTTTGTTTGACCAAACAATGCATGTGGTTTTATTTATTGATTTCACCTTCGCAGTTTATTTTTGTTAAAGACCAAGGTCACCTATTGTCATTGTTGAAAATATTCTAGAAAATCTGCCAAATATGTCAGTTTCAAGTGTCTCACACAAGCAAAGCGCTGGGGATGTATGCACAAGTTGTGTTAAATTAATAAAGTAATAACCGAGTGTTTGGTGAAATTGACACCTTTTTAAGTTGCAGATGTTATTTTGAAACAAACAGCAATAAAAATAGGGAGGGTTAGAAAATATTGAGAAGTTTACTGAAGTACCAAATTCAGTACAAATTAAGGCTAAAAAAAACCAAACGATCACAGCTTGAGTTTTTACCTGAGCATTTTACGATCGAGTGTTGTAAAACGAAACCCTAAGCAGACACGATGGCCAATTAGAAAGACAGAAAATATCACAAGGAGGAAAAGACAAGAATCAATGTTAACACAAGAAACAAGGCTCGATTACCGGCCGCTGCTTGAGAACCGGAACCCGCGCTTCAACCTGCCCAGGCCCCAAAGCGCGGTAGATCGCGAGAATGCGAGTCATATTTGTTTTTTTAGTTTTGCGTTTTCCTCTTTGCAGGTGTTTTCAAAGTAAATTAAGCCATAGTAACCCCGAATGACTTTCGATACTCTATATAAATTTGCTCGAAATAGCGGTGAATGATTATTTTGACCCGAAATGAAGAAATTCTCGTAAACAAATTACCATAACATTCACCACGCCGAAGTTTATGATCTGTAATTTTGTGCGATGCAAATGTTTTTAAGAAAAGGGAAAACAAGATATATTTTTGAGTTATAATAGATAAGAGGGTTCGTTTTCATGAGTAAGGGAAGAATTTAAGGAAATACATGCATTTAATAGGAGATAAGAATTTTTTTTGTTTCTTTCCTTCCACAGCTTTCTTACGCATTCTTATATTTTGCAATACAGCCTCATTGAATAAAGAACTGAGATCTTTTGTTTTGCACTACTGGTTTGCAAATTTAGCTTATGTGCAGACTTCTCAAATTATAAAGTTTAAACTCTGGTTGGAAATAACAATACTTAAATTACTTTCAGAAATTAAATAAGCACGCAAGTGTTTCCTCGTACAACTGTGCGGAAAAACCGTAGATTAAAACTCTGTTTGCAAAACATGATTTCCGGCCGAAGTGATATTTGTCCAAAATTTAATGAATCAAACATTGTACGATGAGTTGCCTGCTGAGACGACAGGAAACAAACTTATCAGTTGCAATAACTCATTCATTTTTAACCGTACGTTATGTAATGTTTATGTTCCGTTTGATGTACGTCCATAGCCTCTGGTGTTGTTACATTTATGTTTCACTGAATAAGCAATAACAATGTGGTAATCTTCCTACAACTGAACATATTCTGGCGATCAACGACAACAGAAAACAGACAAATTTGAATAAATTCCTTGAACTCCTAAGATCTGATTGTTAATTCTCCCCTCTCGCTTCTAAACATTTTCTTTTTCGACGAGTAAGGAGAATCTGGTGTTACATCGAGGTATTAACTTCAACCTGATAGGTTTGAGTATTCTCACTACCTCTTTGCTGGATAATGTAAGGTTATTCCGGGGAGAAGTTACATTTTAATCACTTCTGGGAATTAAAGGGTGAAATAGCAGTCTTCTCTAGTGAACAAGAATGAATCACGGGAAAACGACTCCTGAAAACAATGATGTCAAATATTTTAACTTATCTCTCCTAGGTGTTCTAACTTTCACATATTTAGCAAGTGTACCTTGTTCTTTATGAAATGTATTTCAAACTACTTGCCTATCGCCATCAAATGGTGCGACAATTTTGTGCAGAGGTGTTAGAACCACTAGCAAGTTACAGTAACTGGAGTGATTTTGAAGTATTTTCATTTTCTGCCCCGCCCTACCCAGTCCATTCCCCGGTACACTTATGAATAAACCGCAGGTCTTCGTCTGATATCGAGATTTATCGTTCGTCGTTTTCACCTGTTGCACATTTATCGCCGAGATGACAATATTGAAACCAGAAAATTACATTATAATTATAGCTGCTCAGAAAATCATTAACTTGTTGTTGTTGTTTGCCGATCGACTGCCCAAGTAACTGAAAAAGTCTGCTGGGTGTAGGTTACGTTGACAATCTTAACCCGTGACTAATGTGACTGATTTCCTGTCGTATTGTTTTTCTTCTCGGCTTTTTCAACGTCCCCCAGTCAGTGTCAAGTTCAAAAAGAATCCGTTTGTTTATAAGAATTCGAGAACAAATTATTTTCGTAAATAGCTCGCGACCAATTAAGTTTTACTTCGTCGCGAAATGAAGTGAATGGTTGGTGGTTTTTATGATTTGTTTCTCTTGGTTTGGTGATTTCCTGATTGAAATACGATTATAACACACCTTTCCCTCAAAAATGCCAGTTCTTTCGTGAAGCTTACGTTGGAACGGTTTTGTGTGAAGCGGCGTTTCCCGTCGATCGTAATACATTTAAGATGTAATCTTCCCCCCGTTATTTTTCCCAGCGGTTTTTTCAAAGATTTCTGTACTATTTTTTGAAAGATCTTTCTCACTTTTTCAGGGTTTTCAATATGCTTACAGAAAAAGGTCTTTGCAGATAGCTCTCTCTCTAAGGACAACTCGCAATTTATCTGTTTATGACAACCTTAAAAAAAAAAAAAAAAAGAAAGCACACTTTTTTTAACTTTCGATTTTTTTAATTGTTTGTCTCATTGCCTTCATTTCATTGAAGGCAATGAGAGACACTTCCCATCCCTAATGTTCTTTTTTTTTTTGTCTTTGCACCATCGACCTTCTTTTGTCTTCGCAGCTTAAATTCTTATTTCGAGAAATCGTTGAAATTAGTTTTTTAATCTCTTCTTACATCCTGTAATTTAACAACAAGCTACAAGTTAAATATATATTTAGGCCTGACGACTGACAAGCTGGAATCCTATTGGTTAGAGGATCGACCAATCACGTATCAGTAATTTACGATTGTTGTATAACTAAGAATAAGAAGACGAGCCTCGACTGATGCAATATTTGCTGGTTAGGTAACCAAGATATTGGCTTTGTTCAGAAATGAGCTGATTATTCAACTAAGAAAAAAGAACAGAATGGTTCTTAATTTGCAATTTTATCGTGCGCAGTTTTAGGGAACTCTAATTCAGAGGTGAAGAATACTTGCATGCTGTAGTTGTAGTCTTTGCGACAGAACACAACTGCGTATCAAGCAGCAAGAGTTTAAATTGAATTCAGTTCGTGTGAATCCCAGAAAATTAGAATTCTTCCGAAAAAACTCGAAAGTGCTTAACCATCTTAGTGCAGTATCTTCTGTTAAGCGGTTACTTGAAAGAGCGCACAGGTTTTACCTACAGACTAAACAGGTATTCACGAGTTTGTTAAGCTAACTATTTTCATCTCATTAATTTGAATTTTCACTCTGTTCGGAACAGCCCTTTGCTCATGGTGGCCCTTTGTTTAATGTTTTCTTTTTACCGATCTATTGATTTTTCAAGAGACAA